AAGTAATTAACGTAGTCGATTCTTACGGGTAGGGGGGGGGGAATACTGCATGCTGTGCAATGTCATCAATGGCTTATCCTTTAATAGCTGTTCAGATGATGTCTCAAGGTTACAGCTTCAGCTATGTTGAAATGAGAATGACCAGTCACATGGTTATATATAATGTGCCTTACAAGCTGAAGAACATTAGATTTAGATAGTCTAGAACAGGATCTAGAAAGAGAAGTAGCTGAGGGAATCCAATAAAGGTGATAGTCCTTCCTGTGTAAGAAAAAGGAAGTATGCTCACTGTTTGTGCTTAGTGTTATAATAAAGATTTGTCATTTTGCATTTCACTTTGTATCCAGTCTCATTATTCCATTTAACATCATGACTCAGTTAGTAAGAGATTTAGTATTACTTCATGATTTAATCTTGACTGAATCTCCAGTTATTAATCATACCTACATTCTAGGTTCCATCAATCACTTTAAGTAGGAGCATCTCTGGTACTGTGAGATAGTCATTACTGAGTTGCATTGAAGGTATAACCCAGTGTAAAACAGTAATCTCTAGAGATGAACCCAAAGCTTGAAAAAAGAGAGTACCATGGAAATTGTGCCACTTATGCAGGTGACCTGCACCTTTTCAGTTGTAAGGCTTAACTTAAAGTAGCCTCAGCAGATCTCGAGGATATCCTCATTGATCAGTTCTTGGAAGGGCTAACTAGTGGGTGTGAGAGATCTTCACACTCTTAATACAACACTTTCTGTCATAAGCAATACAGAGTGATAACTTGTGCTAATCACAAAAGAGGAAAATGCCTGTAGTGGCAGCTTCACTGACTTTAACTCAAACTGACAGCCCTACCCAAACACCCATGTCTTATCAAATTCAAACCCAGTAGGGGATTAATCAACTACATATCTTGGTCATGTGATGCAATCGCACTGATATCCAGTGAATTAACAGAACTATCTCAGCTTTCTCACTATTTATTTGCCATGCTTGCACTGCCAGTGCCTTCACCAAGACATCATCCAGCAAGAGAGGAGTAAACCACATGGTTTGCTGAGGGGTATAGAGTCACATTCGATTGAACTGTCCATATCTTGCCTAGCAACACGGTAGACAAGGCTATTAGTTTTGATTACTGGTGCAACATGTACAAGAGAATCAACAGCAGGCAATGAAAAATGCTGCTACAGCTCAGGGCAACTAGAAAAGATCAAGTTGGATCTAGACATCATTTTGGGGAAGTGCAACAAACAACTTGCATCAAAAAAGTATGGTGGTAATCTCAGCTCTCTAAGGACTGATAAATTCCAAAGTGATCCACTTATCTCTGAATACAGTAGCTATTTTTTGCTTGCCTGCCATTGGGATTTTGCCTACCCACTTAAAAAATCTCCCACCTAAATCATGTGTTTTGACATGAACTCTGCTAGTACATGATGTAAACAACATGTAACATTAGCCCTTCACTAATTGAGGGGTGACACATTCTCCATGTGCAGTAGATTCCCATAAGCACTTGAACTTGAAATTAACTTCATTCTTAAACTCACCATTGCCACTAACATACATGTAATTGTGCTCTTTAATTTTGAAAGATTTTTGCATAATCTTTGTCAATAATATTGTAGTTACTGTCTTCCTGATCCCCCAGACAGCAGTAAATCTACAGATTTCACCAAAATCTGAGGTTTGATTCCCTGCAGTAAACACAGCAGATAGTTCAATATGGCTTTGCTCTTAAAAAAAAATGTCTTTCTATTTCTTTTTTCAGTGCATGCCTATTCTTTTTTTTTTATTTTCTTGACATTTTGATTCCATTTGTCACTTTTGTTAATTCCTGAACAGTGGTAAACTTAGTTGTGTTAAGGTTACTTCTCACCTTGTTTTTCAACACCGATAAAAGTTATTCTATACCCTTGCCTGTACTTCAAACAGTTTCACACATCAACTGGTTTCTGTATTTTTTATAATGGAATTTCTAGACCTATGGTCTATTACTTTGCCAGGATGAGTCTTTCTTCTATGGTTCTCCTAATTTTATGGACCTTTAAATAATTGTTGTTGCATATTAAAAAGAAATGAGGATATTTTTGACCAGTTCTACACTATAAACTCTCACATTTCTGTGGCTTCATCCTCTCATTCTAGCTCTGTACATGAAGCCAAAGTTTGATTGGGAATGAAACTAGTTAATGGCTTTTACTATGGTCATTTGCAGAACTCAAGATACTATACAACATAATGTCTTCAAATTCCTGTTTATGGCTGCTGAAGGTTTTTTGTAGAAGATGTTACCACCAGTTGTCTCCTTGTCATGGATTTTGACTTCCTTTGCTGTTCCTCTATTTCTTGTGCATTTTCCATTCCTAAGCCTATCCATGAGGTCAATGTTTTTGATTGTCTTGCTTTGCTCTGGCCTCTTTATTTTCTGTTGAGGAACACATCATTCCTCTCTCTCTTCTTGCTGATTGTGTTGAGTGTGTACTATTCTTTCCTTCTCTCCCATGTTCCTATATTTCTTTACAATCTTTATTCCACGTTTTAGTTTTCTTTTTTCCTCTTCACCTGACTTTATTATCTATGCTGAAATCTTGTCTCAGCATTTTCCCACTCTTCCACACATCATCTTCCTCAGTTCTATGATTTCTTTAACATGACTTATGGTCACTCCCTATTAGATATACATGACTGTTTAAGTTAATGCAAGTGTTATAATTTAGATGGTCTATGTATAATACAAGCATTAAATTTTATTATTTTTAGAAGCAATAGTTTAACGCAGACTTGTTTATGTTACTATTTTCAAATCTTACATTGTGTAGTTCAGTTGTTGTGAATTGGTGATTGTTGTATTATTGCATCATGTTACAAGAACCTTCTACGTTTTTTCTTTGTTTTGATAGAGTATTATCACATAATAATATCTCATAATGATGTAGAAAGTTCTAGGCCTTGGTCAGGCTATAAATATGCATACAAAATATAGGTCGAGATACTAAGACATAGTAAGTTAAGTTAGACAAAGTAAGGGATAGATTGATAGATAGATAGACCTAGACTGCGTGATTGTGAGTTTAGCAGTAAAGAGCATATAGTGGCAACTTTTAAAGTGAATTGTCACAGATTGTATTATAATAAAAGAGTAGAGAAGAATAATTTGTCTTGTCAATTGTGTTCTAAAGTAATTGAACCAGCCTGTATGGACTTTGACAAAAGAAGAAGAGACAATTACTTAAAGCTTTGGATAGAACTGTGGTAACCAATAGTTATAGTAGTGATTTTAAAGTGAAATTATCACAGACTTTATTGTAACAAAAGAGTAGAGAAGAATAATTCATCTTGTAAATTGTGTTCTAAAGTAAGTGAGCAAACCTGTATGAATTTTTGATGAAAATAGAATTATTTAACCCTTTTGCCCCTGGGTGTCATTTTTAAATTCTTTCTGCATTGATACTGTGTTGTATTCAAAATTTAATTAAACCACTTTATTATCAATATATTTAATTGAAATTATTATTATTATCAAGTATTTTATAATTTAAAGTTTTATATTATCTAAGTTTTTAATATTTTATTTCAAATAAAACACCTCAAACTACAAGTATAACTTGTTTTTGCTGTCACGTGATCAGCTCGCAGTTACAATTTCTCAACTTCAACAGTTGGTAAAAAAGAAACTGGGTGTCTGCACTGTATAGGCTTCCACTATATGGCCAAAGTACACACACATGTGGTTTACATTACTGACTCATTTTACTTTTGAAGATTTTCTCCTCCTAAGAAACTGTTGTAAGTACTTTCTCAACCATGCCCACTTGCAGAGTTAAATATGTGTTGCTATGCAACAGTCTGAAGTTGAATGACATGCTTACAATCAATAGAAAGAGCAGGTTTCACCCTTAAATATTTGTACTGTAATTGGAAGCATATATGTAGTCTTTGATTTTGAAATGGGATAAAATAAAGCTAAGACTATTGTTCTCTCGAAGGGTATGTACTACTTAGCAATTGTTTCTCACCCTATATGTATTAGTGTACTAGACAGTTAGATTACATTTATGTTTTACTTTTATATTTTAATTAATTATGTATTATTAATGTTTTAAAATCCATATTTGAAAGGTTTAATGATTTTTATAAGTTTAACTTGTTGTCACCTGGATTGTTAAAGCTTATAAACAAGATGCCATGTGCACACATGAGTCAGCAGGAGCTGGAAGGTTATAACTATTGTTGGATATACAAAACTGTTTAGTGTAAGCATTATTATTTAGTTTATTTTGTGATTTAATATTTAATGATTGTTTTGTTTCTTGACAAGAGTATTGAAGGTTGATTGTTTTAAAAGCGTTAGTTCTGACAAATTTTGTTACATAACTCTGTACGAGTCATACATTGTGTATGTAGCTAGATCCTATCATTG